TCCCTAATCTCTTTCTCCTTCCTACATCCCATCAACCCAGAAAGTGGATACTCCATGCTGTGCCCAGCAAAACCAGGAACTGGACTTTAGCAAGGTAGACTGCACCTTCCTCAGTACACACAGCCCTGTTGGCTCCAGAGCCAAGTAGATGCTGGGAATTTCAGGTCAGGGTGTCTTAAATGTTAATGTGCATCCCCTGGGGGTCTGTCTGGGTGAGGCCTGAGATTCTGCTGTTCTAACAAGTTCCTGGGTGAGTCGATGCTGCTTGGTGGGTAAGTCACCTCTGGTGGGTAAGTGTCCAGGGCAAAGCCATTGTGCCCATAAATACAAGCCAGACAAGTGAGATGCTGCGTCCAGACTTCGGGTTTAGAAGTGTCCCTCAGGCTGGACTGAGTGGCCCCTTGGAGACAGGGCAGGGGTGAGGACAAACAATTAGTCCCTTCTCCAAGGACAGCCTGAGACTACTTAAACTGAAGGGGGCAGAGATCAAGAGTGGGCAGAGGAAGGCTGGAGCAAAGGCAGTCCAAACTCTCAGCAACGCAGACCTCCTCTGGGCCCTGGCAGACAAGAGCCCCTCCTCCCTCGCTTGCCGGGCTCTGATGGACTGAAGCAAGAGGCCTATTTCCTCATCGGGCCTCTGAATAACTAGGGCACTTCCACAAGGTCACAGTTGTTCATTTAAATTCCAGCTCTAATCAGCAGCAGAGCCTGAGAAATCATCCCTTCTGAGGAGAGGCTGTCATAGGGGCATCATAAACAGCCCCTCCCAGCTGGAGAGAAGCTGGGGGGTAGGAAAGGGGTCTCATAGCCGCAGGCCCCTGCACTGTTCCCTGCCTCCAAATCCCTCCTCTCATCAAACTCCCACCCCTACTTCCAACAGATTCCTCTCCCCTTGGCTGAGAATTCTGGAACACTTGGGTAGAGAGGAGAGGCCTGAGGGCAGGGCACAGCACAGCAGAGCTGGGACTGTCCCCTCCTGCCCCACAGGCAGCCCAGGGAGACCAATGACAAGTCCCAATGGGCCAGAAGTGTGGGATGAGGGCCAGACAGTAGACCCTTCCAGGCCACAAATGGATGCCATGGCCTTGGAGATGTCTCTTCCCCTCCCCAGGCCTCAGTTTCCTCCGCTGAGAAGTCAGAGAGAGGCACTCCTTGGACAGGCCACCCTCTGAGCCCAACATACCTTGTGACCCTAAGGACTCACAATACTCCTGGTGCTTGCAGCCACACTTTCTGCTCAACCAACACTTCTGAGGTCCTACTATGTGGTGTGCACCATGCGAAGAGCTTGGAATGCAAATGTGGGTGAGAGGCACCCACAGCTCGGCCCTGGAAATGCCAGGGTTTCAAAGAGAAAGAGCACAGGCTCTGGAAGCAGACCAGCCTGAGGTCGTGGTCTTGTAACAGTAGCTGAGGACAGTGGGCAGTTACTGACCCTCTTTGAATCTCCTTTCCTCACCTGTAGAGAGGATGGCAATACCTACCCAAAGGAGTGAATGTGAAAGGTCAAATCAGAGGATACGCGGGAGACGGCAAAGCTGGGTGCCCCTCTCGAACTGCAGGTCAGCATACCACAAGTGCCTATTGCTACTTCGTGATTCCGCATCTCCTTCCCAGAGGCTGGAAGGAGGGGCTGTGTATTTTCCCACACGAAAGTCCAGTGACATATCGCCTGCCCTTTTCTCCTGGGTGTCCAGGATACTCTCTCCAAGTCCCCAGCCCACCTCTTAGACCAGTGATGGCGAAACTTTTGAGCTCAGCGTGTCAGCATTTTGAAAAACCCTAACTTAATTCTGGTGCCGTGTCACATATAGAAATTTTTTGATATTTGCAACCATAGTAAAACAAAGATTTATATTTTTGATATTTATTTTATGTATTTAAATGCCATCTAACAAAGAAAAATCAACCAAAAAAATGAGTTCGCGTGTCACCTCTGACACGCGTGTCATAGGTTTGCCATCACTGTCCTAGACCTTGGGAAAAGTGTTGCCTGCCAGGCCCCATCTCTGATTGTGTTTTACAGTAGCGTTCCCTCTAACCAATCTCCTCAACATGTAAAATTAATCAATTAATCAATCATCCTCTTATAGTCTTCCAGTGGCCCCTGGGTAAACAGTTACATTAGCTCATAAAATCCCAAATCTGTCTTCCTAAATGAAGAAGAAAACAGCAGAGCACCACTGAGGGCTTCTTGTTTTAGAGCCACAGCGCTGCTGGCTCCAGGAGGCCTGGCAAGCAGCTTGGAGAGGTTGGAGGCTGCCCCCTAACCTCAACCAGTGTGAGGCAGCTCAGGCTGCCTCCTGCCACATCCAGGGCCACAAGGGAAGGCTCTGAACTCATGATTTGCTTCAGGCTCAGAAACAACAAAAAAGCAGGGGGTCAGTGGGTGGCAGGATTGGCAGTCAGCTCTTGACACCTCAAGGGCAGAAGGAAGAGTGTGACTTAGAATTAGACTGGAATCTCCTCTTGGCTGGCTGCTCAGTAGCTCAGTAACATCAGCACATCACTGAACCTCCTGGCCTCGACTTCCTCGGCAGAAAAATAGAGCACAGGTGACACACCTCCGAGGGTGGTTAGGAGAATAAAATGAGATAATGGCCATGAAATTGGAATGGTGCCAGTTATAGATGCTTTTATCTAAGGCAGGCTCACCACTGACCTCTGCCCTTTTGAAGAGACGGAGGGGAACCCATGGGTCCACAGCATTTCATCCACCAGGCTGTTTCACCCACAACCAATACGGTGCCTTTGTGAGAATTAGAAAAAGGTGCCTTGTAGTCAGAGGCAGCCTCATGGGCACAGGCTTGGCAAGAGGAATGCAGGCTGGATGTCAGCCCCCACAAGTCTATGTGAGGACCCTGGGCTGCATCTCTGCTGGGAACCAGGAAGAGAAGGCATTAAGGCAAGTGGCACTTTTACAAACAGCACTTGAAGTGTTGGCCTTACTCCCTCACCTCCTTGCAGTATCCCAGAAAACCTCATCGTAATGCTTGGGACTTAATGCTTGGGACTGCACTGATCACCCACCACCTGATACAATACATATGTGATATACACATACTATACATAATATGTATCTTTGTGTGTGTATATGCATACATATAGGGTCAGTGAAAGTAGGTTCACAGTTGTTGGTATAGAAAATAATAGAACAATTAACAAATAATAATGCAAGAATAAACTCTGTATTTCTCATATGCACAACTTTATATATAATTTCTTATTTCATTGTCTGTCCCCATCTAGGATAAAAGATTCATGAGCACAAGGAGCCTTCTGTTTGTTCACTCTTTTGTCCCTAATACTAGGAAAAGTGCCTGGTATATAGCAGGTTATCAATAAAAATTTGCTGAGTGAGAGATTAACTAAAATATTATCAAGCAGAAAGAGAGAGAATTTAATGGTATCTTCCTGGAAAATGCTGTTTTGTGCTTTGGTTCAAACTATTATTTTCAAAGGGGTGGGGTGTAGACAGAAGATAAAAGATGGGAAAACCCTGTGTACTATCTAGGATGACTCTACTATTCTCCTATGTTGCATAATATCTCATACAAGTTAATGATAAGAAAGAAACTCTTCCTAAGTGTGGTTGATTATTTCAGATACTTGAAAAATAATTAAGGATAACTATTTGGAAAGAGGTCTGCTAATAATGAAAATGTCACACTACCTCTAAGCAAAAATAAATAGACCCATCAGGAAATACTTACCAGATCTTCAATCCCTGAGAATTTTCAGTGACATGATCCAGTGTGTTCCAATGGAGGGTGTATGGGCTTTGGAGTCAGAAAGTCCTAAGTTCAAATCCCATTGCTACCACTGATGGGCTCTATGACCTTGGGCAACCTGCTTAACCTGTTGGGCCCTAAATTTCCTTCACCTTTAAATGGATGTAACAATACCTATCTTGTATTGATATCATAAGAATTAAATGTTGAAAGGACTAAACAAGAAAACATATGTGGAATTATCTTTAAAAAAACAAAAAAGATGATACTCCCTTCTCATTTGGTAGGGTTATTCCCCTTAACTCAAAGTAATAGCCAGTTTAGAATCATCTCCAAATGTAACAATACCTATCTTGTATTGATACCATAAGAATTAAATGTTGAAAGGACTAACCAAGAAAACATATGTGGAATTATCTTTAAAAAAAACAAAAAAGATGATACTCCCTTCTCATGTGGTAGGGTTATTCCTCTTAACTCAAAGTAATAGCCAGTTTAGAATCATCTCCAAACCAGTCTACATCATTTGACACTTCTTATCTATAAATGGTTGTATCTTCTCATATGAGTCTGTGTTCTGTGTATGTCTGTGTACATATGTAGATGTAGTCTACACACACAAGGCTTTAAATTAGGACACTGGCTGATTATGCATTTAAAAAGAGAAATGCATAATTATCATAAGGATGGTTCCTCCATTAGTTCATTGACAAAAAAAAAATCTAGTGTGTTTGTTGTTGTTTTTTACAGTGAGCATGTATTAGTTGCATAACCAAAAAAAATTTGCTAATTTCATTGTGGAAAAGCCATTAGTTAGAATAAAAAGAAAGAAACCTTCTTACACCCACATCATATTTTCCATGCTGAGTATGTGCTATCTTCAACTGTCAATCACATGAAGCCATAGAAGATAAATAGATTTATGGAGGACAAAGCAAAATGTTCATTAAATTGAAGAATACATATCTTAAGAACATCTTTTAAAAATATTTTCAATAAATGCCCACTTTCCACTTTTTTGATTCATCCAGAAATATTAATCAGAAGTAAATGATAGCATAAGCATGGGAACCACATTCCTTTGGTTTCAAAACCAATACAAATCCATCAATTCAAGGCATTTCTTCTAACTCTAAATCAATAAAAATGCAATGTATTTAGACTTCAGTTCTGCTTAGCATCCCTAGGAAAGGGTCTCACTCAGGGTCAAACATGCACAATCTGGCAGAGGGGGATGTGCACGGCAGCTGTGCAGACACAGAGACTCACCTGGACCTTGACTGACATCTGTGGCAGCATTTTCAACAAGAGAAAAAGGGAGAGGAGACAAGGGGAGAGAAAAAGGAAGAAGAGTGTTAGAGCACACACACACACAATGCAATGTGCCCTTGCATGACTATCAAGTTCATGCAAGACCCCAAAGGTGCTCAACTTCTGAGTACCTAGTTCTACCTTCACCCAAAATCCACCCATGCAAGCTGAGGGGCTAGGCTCCCTTTTCACTGTGCATGTAGCAAGAGAGGTGAGCTTCACATCTGTCCGGAAGCACAACATCCTGGAATCAGATAGGGCTCCAAAGAGCCAAGCAGACTGGAATCCTGCAAGAACATCAGTTAAAATATTCCGGTTGATTTCTGCATACCAACATCCAAGCAAATCCTCCGTCCCTCCAGTTACAGAACACTGGACATGAAGTCAAGCGAGGTTTCCCAGTAGACATAAAAAAAAATAGTAATAAATCACTCCCTTGAGGAATAAGGAAAAGATGCATAAGAATTAAGAGCAAGTTGCAGCATTGTTCATCACAGAGGACTGAAGGATACAAGACCACAAAACATTCATAATTTCCTCCCCAGCATCCCCGATGACCATTCTTCATCACAGACAGCTGTGTGTGTGCAAGAGATTGTGTGTTGAGTAGGTCATTTGCCAGACAAATTAAAATTCTGCCTCCCCCTTTAATTTTTCTCCTGGCTTTCACCCCATCATTAATGACAGGAATTGCCATTTGAAATCACCTTTGATATCTACAAATAGACATCCAGCCCTGGGAAGTGTGATATTTGAATTAAGCCAATGAACTTTCAAAAATGAAAAACAGTTCACTCTCATCATCTCCATGAATACAATCTCCTCCTTCTATCCTCAAATGTAAAACAGAATCATGCCAAAAAAAAAAAAAAAAAAGCTGAACTAAGAGCAGCCCAAAGCATTGTTAAAACCCCTGGACCCCAACCTTGAGGATACACTACAGCTACAGAGAAGGAACTGGGGGCTACTTCAGCAAACCACTGGCCATCCAGGCAATCCTGAGTGACTCACTTAAAATCATTAAATGGTGGGTCTGGGATATCCATAGACATTATCTATTTTAAGTCTTTTTTGTGAAGATGGAGGGTGAAAAAGGTTGAGAGACTTGCCCAAGGTTACCCAACTAGTTCAAGGACAGAGCCTAGAAAAGAACTTATATCTCTTGAATCCCACCCAGTTCAACTTTCATTTCACTGAAACCTAAGTCCCTCAAGGTCATATAGAACCCAAATTCAGTTTGCAAGCTCAATGAGCACCCAGAAACCATAGGTATCTGAGTGATTGCCTCCTGGCTACCCCATGAGAGGGTCATGAGTTATCCTATGTGCTTCTAATTTGTTGCCATCAGATTTGTAAAGTTCCAGCAAGTTCCTTAGGGTTCTTGCCCCAGAAAAATCCAGGCACTGACCTGACAGAGCTATGTCTCAGCATCTAGGAGGGGCATCTCCATAACAACAGCTGAGCATTCCTCCAGCCCACACCCTGTATTCCTAGAAGCTGTATCTGCCCAAAGAGACTTTTAGAGAGCTCTGGATCATTCCTCAGCCACACCCCCTTTCAGGATTTCTGGTGAGTTGTTAGATTTAGGGGTGGAGAGGCAGCAGGGAGGAAGAAAAGTGGCAAAATAAAGAAGTGGGAAGAGAAAACATTCTGCGTAAATAACTAAGTAGGGCCATTAACTGTGCCTGATAGATTGCCTACAATAGCAGTCCTTAAGATACCCCTTCATTAAACAGGCTATCAAACCATTTGCATGTGGTTGAGTTCAGTGGTGGGAGTATCAACACCACTGTTCATAGAAACATGCTCTTTGGGGGCACCAAGACCCAAGGGAGACAGGATACCTTAAAACTCCAAAGTTCTTTTAATACTAAATTGTCCATTTGGGCATTGTGGTTACAATCCTAAATTTTGGAGACAAACAGGTCTCAGTTCAAATCTCGGCATGCTTAGATGGCCTTGGGCCAAACATTGAACTCTCTCTGAGTCCTTTTCCTCAGCTATAAAATGGGAAGATAGCAGAGCCTCCCTCGTGGCATTGTTATGAGAATTAAATAAGATTAAATACTTGTAAAGCACTTAACTCAGTACAAGGCAAACACTGCATAAATGTTAGTTTCTCTGATTATTATCATTTTGAATTACCACAAACAGAATTACCAAAAATGTTGACCAGATGGCTCCCTGGAAATGTCAAGAGACCACAGGAATTAAGCTGTATTTACTTTGGTGAACCCAAAATTTGGGTTCAATTCTTCTACTTGTAAGTGAAGATCTCTATTCCAGCCCTCCCACCCCCTAGCTGGTCTCTCCTCCCTCACTTTTTTTTCTGGGGGGGGGGGAGGAAGCGGGGGGGCAAGAGGGAGTCAATAGGTTCTGGGTGAGCAAAAGCAAGAGACAAAACAAATTCCTTTCTCAAATCAAACCTTAATTTGGGCCAGTTCTAATCTTGTGCATAAAAAAACCAGCATCTCTTCTTGCCAAAGAGGGCTAATAAGGTCACCAAGAAAACTGCCCTTAACAGGGGGCCAGAGTCCAAATCCAGCTCCTGGCTGTGCCACCATCCTAGAGGCAGGTCTGAGCATTATGTTCAATTTGGGAAACACAGAGACCCCCTGGCCCAAGAAGCAGTGAGTTACCTGAATCTCTGCATTCTAATTAACAGAATGAAATTACAAAGGTAGGAGTAGAATGAGGAGGAGGATGGGCAGAGAGAGGGTAAGGATCAGAACTTCACCAGTATTGGCTATAATGTCTGACCAGCATCCTTTTCCCCTTCTTTTTATAGCAAGCCCCAGTTTTCTTCTGGGGAACAAGCTTTACTACCCTTAACCCATATGGCTTGGTAGAGATGACCCCCATCCCCACCTTAGCTCCAAGGGTAGGCATGTGACTCAGACAAGGTCATGGGAATCTAGAGCTGGATTGCCAGGATTTAGGCAGTATGACTTTATGCCAGTTACCTAAGCTCTCTGTGTTTCAGTTTCCTTATCCATAAACTGGGTGTGATAATAGTTCCTACCTTAAGGATGTTGTAAGGCAGCGGTTCTCAACCTGTGGGTCGCGACCCCTTTGGGGGTCAAAGGACCCTTTCACAGGGGTGGCCTAAGACCATCGGAAAACACATATATAATTACATATTGTTTTTGTGATTAATCACTATGCTTTAATTATGTTCAATTTGTAACAATGAAATTGGGGGTCACCCCAACATGAGGAACTGTATTAAAGGGTCACAGCATTAGGAAGGTTGAGAACCACTGTTGTAAGGGCTTAGAACACTACCTAGCATATGAAAAGCCCTCAGTCAATGTTGGCTGGTAATTTGATTACCTTCCTATAGGGGAGAACAAGAGTATTAAAACAACAATAACAACAACCCTCACACAGTAAGGAAGTCTGTCCTAGGATGTAGCTGTGGTTGTTCTGACTCCACACCTTGAGGCCTCCCATTCCCAAGGCAATCATCCCCAGAGCGCCCTCTGTCTGTGGTTGATATTGATATACAACCTGGGGTCTCTGTATGGGGGAACAACATTGGGCCCCAAAACTGGACAGAGGAAACCTTTAAGTAGATAGATGAGAGAGAGAGAGAGAGAGAGAGAGAGAGAGAGAGAGAGAGATGAAGAGAGAGAGATAGGGAAATAGATGATATAGATAAAGATATATAGATACAGATACAGATATAGATATAGATATATGAATATCAATTTTAAATAGATTAAAAAGTGGGGACAAATTACAGAGGAAGAGGCAGTTGACAACCACATGTGATTGATCCAGGGGAGGTGGCATCCTCAGCCCTGCCAGCCTCCCCAGCTCCCTCCTGCTGTTTTATTTTCTCACACTGCTGGGCCTGTGGTTTTCCAGAGTGCCACTGCATTTAAATCTATATTCTATTTTCTCTCCTAGAAAATAGGTCAGAACCAAGGCAGAGTTCACCAGGTGGGGTCCCAGAAGGTTTGGCTGGGCCTTGCCTGCAGGAAGCAGCCGCCCCACGCTCCCCAAAGCTCCTCCAGGGGAACAGGGGGCTGTGGAAGCAGCAAGTGGGGAAATCTCGGACTCTTTCCTCTTGAGATGATCTAGTACAAATGAAGGGTGACATGGGAAGGCTCCCCAGGCTAAGCTATACTCTGCAACTGCAACAGCAGCAGGTGGAGGGTCCTCCCCAAGTCCAATCCCCACTCCCACCCCAAACTGCAGGAAATTGTTTCCTTTGAACTATAAAATGCTGATCATATGCACTTGTGGCTAAATTTGTTGTTGAAGATGCATTGAGTGTCCGTGGGGTACTGAGGTAGGAATGCCCTAATTCACTTCTTCACTGGTTGTAAAGGCAAAGAGAGTAAGTGAAGGGTAGCAGCAGCTTTCAAATCCTTCCACTCCTGGGTTGCTCCCTGGCCCCCGGTTTGAGCATGGCATTCCTAACAGAGGTGGCTGCAGACTGGGCCAGATTTGTTCTCATCAGGAATGTTTTTCCCCTAGTATTTTTTTTGAGCACCTGCTAACTCCCAAGGTCAGTGTAAATGCCAAAGCTAGGAGGATGGGAGAGGAAAGATGTCCAGTTATGTGAGCCAGTCCTCAGCCCTCCTGCCAGTCACGACAGTAGGAGCAACTAACACTAATGGAGCAGGGCCTGCCTCGAGCCTGTGCATTTGCTGTTTTCCTGCCAAGCAGTCTTCGTCAGGCATATGTAAGACTGTTCTTCACTTTCTTCAGGTATCAGCTCAGATACTACTTCTTCAGAGAGACCTTCTTCAACCTCCTTTTCTGACCCTGCTTTTCCTTTCATCTTGGCACTAATCACTATTTGACATTATATGTGGGGTTTATGTTTTTATTGCGTATATCCCCCATGAAAACCCAAGCTTCCTGAGAAAAGAAGTATTGTCTGTTTCATTAAACACTTGTATGCCCAGAGTTTAAGCAGGGTCTCGCCTATAACAGGTGCTCAGTATGTATTGAATGGTGACTAG